CATAATTTTTTCGAGCTTTTTAATGTCAAATTCCTTAAAACTATTTTAATTCCAAGAAAAGCCATAAACGGAGCTATTGGTTACAGTTTGATGACTCTAAGCTAATTTTTGACAGATTTCATCATCGGATTAGCGTCTATTTTCTCAATGGTCCTATTAAGTAAGCTTATATTATAGAAAATATGTTAATTAGACGCCAAGTATTCCCTCCCAATTTTGTTCTCCCATCCCCACACCAAGAAACGCTTTGCCTTGGATATACCCTACCCCACCCCCCAACTGCCCGTTTACCCTAATCGAAGGGCAGCTTTTAGGCAGCGTTTGGCCCGCGCTGCGGGGGTAATTTACACACGCCTGGGCGGGTGGTTGTGAGCAGAAGTCGTCACCGGCTGGATGGGAAGGGGGTATGGAAGGGAATGAAAGGAGGTGTGGCTGGGATTGGTTGGGTACGGTAGGACCCGCCCCCGGACCATCGATACGGGGGCCCACCCCCCTTTCTCTTCACAGCCATCTACCGGGGCCACCGGCTCCCATTCCAGCCACCTAGGCTCCGAGAAGGCCCCGGTCTGTCTACGGGACTCGGTCAGCATAGAGAGCTGAATTTTTTGGACGGTGAATGGATCTATTTTTTGGTTGTTAGGCGTATCTTCTTTGATTTATTTCATTGTCTTAATCGGTGGTTTCCTTTTCGCATTGCAAAAAGCACATACGTAAATTGTATCGACTTTTGAAGCCTCCTCCGAGTATCTTTTTTATATTTAGCTTTTTTTATAAACATTTAGCATTGAAATTGCCAATAAAACGCTTTTTATATATGTACAGGCATAAGTACAATTGATTTTTCCTAACTCATCTGCACGAAACTCGTATGTAAAGAACTTTAAATGAATGATCCACGAATACAGATGGTCTATGCCTTAATTTTTTTGAAATTTCGGTCCTTTGTTCTGATTTCTAACCCCCTTTGACCCAAAAAATCCACCCCTCTCCACGGATTTTTTCGTGAATAACCATCTGACACATGCAACTCTGGATTCTATACTGTTAACTTGATGCTGATTTTCTAAGTTTTCCTAATCCACCGCATGCACCCTTTATACAACTGCATCCTTTGAATTAACATTCCAGAATGTTCCCCGCGTCATTCCTCCATCCGGCGACGCCAAGCTCGTCCTCCATCTTTCCCCAGCCGAACCTACATCAGCTCATCAACTTTTGCTACCAGCAGCAAGCCCTCAACCTCGCCATGCAGGTCAGTTTACTATTCACTTTTCTGTTTGGGGTTTTTTTCTAAAACTTAACTGGAATGATGACCCCTTGTTTTTACTCTAATTTCGAAGCCTAAAAGGATTGGGGCGGGATTTACCACTGCATGGTTTGCATTCAGTATGCTCATCTGGATTTTTAATTGTTTTCGAACCTTACAGTTTTAATGGAATTGCCTTGCTGAAAATAAGCAACTTTCTAACAACAGACGATAATTGCCTTTCAATTCATTTTTAACTCTCCTATAATCCTTTTTGTTTTCAAAAAAGTCAGGCCGGGACGCTGCTTTCCATCTCACACCTCCATACACGATCATCCATTTTCGATCGATTTATGTGAATCATTTGGTAAATATACTCCCATTTCGATGGATCTATCAATCGAATATGGTCATAAGAATTCAGTATTAAATTACTGATGCAAATTTTGAAAAACGTAATACTTTTTATTTTACGAAAATCTAACTCAACATTCCCCTCCTCATCGAAGTCTTTCAAAAAGATTTCTCTATCTTTGGATTCACTTTAAATCATACCGAACACTCGTAATGGCGTTCTAATACACAGCCACCGGCCGGCTACAGAACCCAGACCCCCCGATTTGACAGTCCCTTTCCCAGCCCCTTTCCGAAATCATTAGCGCCCTAGGTGGCATCTGGAAGCCCTGATAAATGCTTCGGAAGAAAGACAAACATTCCCCGCCTGGCCCAGGCGTGAAAGTTATCAATTCGAGCCTGTCTCCATCCGGGGCGTCGCCTCCCTGAAAATTCAGATTGCGAAATTAAGGGTTTTCCGATTTTCATGAATAATTTCAGAGTCTGAAGCGCTTCAATAGCGTCCACACCCCAGAGAAAGATGAAGTGCCGGCAGCCAAAAAACCGAAGGTAGTGTGGTGATTATCCATGGCTTAGATATATTTTTAGTTCGACTTTGCCCGCCTGGCGACAACGATCGAAAACGAGGTTAAAGTTAAAACCGATGCTTTGGCTTCACCTATCGAATCAACCACATCTCCACAACTAACCATTCCGACTGCCCCCTTCCAGCGGCCATGGTATTATTTATTTATTATTTCATACATCTTAATATGTATTATTTATTTATTTCCTTATTACTGTATTCTTTTAGGTTCATGCTCCCTGGAAAACGGACTGGTGGCCGAACAACTAGACCCAAGAAGGAGTTTATTTGCAAGTATTGTCATAGGTAAGCGATTCTAAAGATCTTTTTATAAACATCTTAGTATGTTTAAATTTTAATGTAAATTTATTATTTTAGACAATTCACGAAATCTTACAACCTTCTCATCCATGAGCGTACCCATACGGACGAACGGCCATATCCTGCGAACAATGCGGAAAAGCTTTCCGCAGACAGGACCATCTCAGGGATCATCGGTAATTGACATCAACGCAAACTGTATTTCAATTGATTTCTAGTTTCATCCACTCGAAAGATAAGCCGTTCAAATGTGAGATCTGTGGGAAGGGCTTTTGCCAATCGCGTACGCTGGCCCAGCATCGATTTGGTCATTCTCAGTGTGCGTTGGATAAGGTGGGTAGAAGGGGCTCGAAATTTTGAGAGAGCAAGCTAGAAATCTTTTGTATTAAATTTTGAAATATTTGGGGCTATCCCTATTTTAGTATTCGTGATTTATGGAGACCATGGGGCAACCTGGAGAGGGGCGCGCGAGAGGGAGAGAGGGAGAGAGAGAGAGAGAGAGAGAGAGAGAGAGAGAGAGAGAGAAATAGAAAAAGCGAAGAATATATGAAGAAAAAGTTGCGGTGAACGTATCGCTAGAATTCGATTCTTGGCATTAGCTTATTATTTTTATAGAGCCTCAGTAGAAACCTAACGCAAAAATGTCGATCATTTTTAAATCCAAAATTCAGTTTAAAAAAATTCGTATTTTTAGAGAAGCACTCCAATGAGCTCTCCAACGCCAACAGCCACCACCTCCGTCTCACCTGCCCGCTCAATCTCAACAGAACCTGAATTAAAAGTCGACCACGAAGAAGAGCCAGAAGAATAAAATAAACCCTCGCCCTTCTATTTTCTCACTCATCTTCGTCAGCTCCCCGGGTGCATATTGTGGTCACAAATTGCTTTAAGCCATCGATGAAGCTTTATCAATAATCTCTGCATGAAATATTCCATTTCTCGTTCCCTCTTCCACCTTTGAAGCTTTATTCTGTCGAGCTGCATTTATTGGTAATAATACTTGGTCGTGTGTTTTTTTTATTGCGATCGGAAATGTGCAATTTATTTAGTTGTATTCGCTGAGACTTTGGTGACAGCTTTAAGGTATTTAGAACTATATTTTTGTGGATTTGTGTCGGTTTTGTGCAGAATAAAATTGTGGTTTATAGATGGTAGCAATAAACACGGGGATAAATTGGAGTAATGCGTGTGGGGGTAGGTGTTTTGGAAGCGGATGTGGATACTCGATGAAGAAGGGGAGGATGAGGAGGAAGAGGAGAAGGAGGAGGAGAGGCCAGGCGGCCCTGACGTATCAGTTTCAGCCACCTTCTCCCCCACACCGGGAGGATCTTCCTATCAATTTCTCGCCCTGCCCCCAGGAGATCCTCGCCGGCTTTCTCCGACTATTTCTGCCTTCCATTCCGCATAATTTATTGATCTCGAGCACCCGGATGGATCTCTTTCGATTCGGCGAATTTGGTTTCGCTTGATATCACGCTAGCGTAGAGCGCTTTTTCAGTTGTAAAATGCAAATCTTCTAAAATAACGTTGTAATTTGGATACTTCTGAAAGTCTCGTCCCATAATTATTACGATCAGGATCATGCAAAATTTAACTTTGATTACACGAATTTCCGTTCGTTTCTTGTCCTAATAGCTGACGGCGTTTTTTCGTAAGCTACAAAGAATCGAAAACCATTATAATTTAGGTATTTTTCGGGCGTTCTTGTAAATATTTATAGAGTCGTCCCTTTTATTGATCAGACTTTAAGCGCGTTTAATATTTAAGATACAACTTTTCTTAAATAATTACGTGCTGTAAATGCTTTGACAACCTGTGAAAAATTTTCGTTTTTTGTTGTCTCGAAGATACAGTTGCATAGTTCAGTTTCTATATCGTTGATAGATTCGTCCATTACACTGTGTTTCCACGGTCCAAAGGTGGTTTGCATAATTTAACATCCTCCGATATTCCATTTTCTCTGATCTATTATGCAGGTTGAATCATCCCCCCCCCTTGACGTGCCACCTCCACCACTGTTTATTTTTCTTCACGGTTGGAAAAAAACGGCTGCCATTATTCCCATTCGTATTCACCCTCATTTCCACCCAGTATCCATCTCCCTCTCAATTCCACTATATTCCTATGATCGATTTTTCTTTGTCGAAATTCTCGGCCTACTCTTTCCTTTCCCTTTTTGTCCTAACCATTGATTTTAGATGTTCTTATATTCTCTTTTCAAATCGAAATTCTAAAATGATGGTTCTTCCGCCGGAAAGCACTTACGATCCATGCCTCAAATGCTTGAAATGTTTTCTCTATATGCAATCGGCTGGGGCCATGGTAACGAAGGTTTTGACTTAATAATAGCATTCTAATTTTGAGTTAATTGCTGCTGCAATGATTGTGGTTCCCGTACATTTTTGGTATTATAATGATGCTCTATTCTCGATACTTCATTCCGATTCTCATTATTATATTCGTGGAATGGTGTTGGGCGTTGGCACACTGTCTTTGACCGTTGTTCTTGTCACAATGTTTGGCACAAAGAATCGAACACTTCGAGGGCTGGTTTGCTTAATATTTAAATTACAAAAAAATGCAATGCTTTTAGTCACTTTTCTTACTGCTGATGATTATAACTGCCGAATTCTTTCTGCTGTATTTGGTAATCGAAGAGGGGAATGAGGCTCGGAAAACCGCTGTTCGACATTTCAAAAGCGATCTATTAGTGCACGGGAAGGATACCAAATTGACAGATGCAATTGATAGTATACAAATGACGGTAAAGTTTGTCAAAGTTTTGATAAGGGTTTATTTTCAGGGTAATTGCTGCGGGTCTTCAGGATTTGATGATTATTTGAAGAATGTTGAAGAGGAAGATGACGAATATGAAGCGCAGGTACAATGTTTAAGGCCATAGCTTGAATAATGATAACTTAGACCCGAATGAAAGTTCAATACGTTCCGGATTCATGCTGCAAATCAATTAAAGCGGGATGTGGAATCAATGATCACCCCAGCAATATATATTATAGGGTATCTTTTGAGTTACGGATTATTTTAGGAAAATCAGTGAACTTATCTTATAAAAACTAGATTTGTAAAAATAATACTTTCATTATTACGTGAAAAGTATTGTTCTTTAAGGACTTTTAAAAAGTTTTTTTACGGTTTTAAGAGCAATTCGATTTTTTTAAAGTGGTTTGTCAATTTTAACAAAAACCTATTATTTTCATTGTCTATTATATAATTTAAAAACATTTATTTTTGACTAAAACCTGTGTATTTTGCTTAAACCTACCAGGCTTACATCTGTTGGAAACTGGGGGGGGGTCCGCGACCTACATCTCGGCCTTGGGGGTAGGTCCCCGCTGGAGAGCCATTTTCCCCCTATTCGCCTCCACCACCCGGCATTTGCCCAGGCAATCACGGTCTGAAACTCGGCATAAAATGCTCCAAATTTTATAATTTTTAGTTTGGGAGAAAGGACATGAAGAGGGCTTTTAAATGGCATATTTCTATGATTTTTAAAATAACGATGAAAATTCGATAAAATTTCAGCTATCTTTTAGTTTTATTGAAGTTAAAATATACATCCAATTAGTATTTGTATGAAATTATGAAACGGTGGATTTTAAACTGGGAACTAAAAAATCAATTTCTATATTTTGTGAAGGTTGAAGGAGGTACTAGGGGCGAATCCTAAACCAGATGAAATATACAAATTAAGATATGAGATCCAGGAATATTTTCCATGCATTTATGCATTCATCCATTTATTTATACTTTTGTACAAATATATTTTTTGAGGGATGTGAACAGTACCTGATCCGTACCGTGGACCGCTACTACTTTGTCCTCTTTGCGCTTTGCCTGCTCGCAATCCCAATTCATGTAAGTAATTATAAGACTTACAAATACAACCAGTTTTAGACGTTTCTCCTGTTGCTCATCTCCTGCATTTGCTGCCGCTCAAAGAAAAAGCGCCACTACACACCCGTACGCACCAAAGCCACCAAGACCGTCGGGCCCGACTTTGAAATGTCGTTTTTTGATTGAATGCTGCAAATTGCGGGGCAGCGGCGTTGCAAATTGGCCCATAAATACGTTGGAAGAACAAAGAACAACCGTTGCGAACGCGAAAAAACAATCAACCGCTTGACCCAAATACAAATGCCATTTTCAAACAATCCTCAAATTAACGTGTTTATTCTAGGGGGACAATGGGCCGAATTCTGGTGTTCATTAATGCCCCCTATCCCCCATGAAAAATATTATGAAAATCCTCCGCGTCTACTCCGCGTACTGTTTATATAAGCCTTCCCCACTTCCACCGCATGTGCCTATATATAAAAACTTATTTTCAAAAGCTAATTTTGTCAACCATCTTGTGTGTGCACTGTTCTCAGTATCATTACGCACCCAATGACGTATCAAACATACCTTAAAGAGCTTTCCCTAAAGCCCTAGGTGCGGTACATACCAACGGAAGTCGCATGCAAATGCAGCCACATAGAAACTATTTTTTATTTAAGTTTAAACCTACATCGCATAGCTATTCGCTTCAGAATTTATTCGCTTTAATTTATTAATTAATTAATTTATTTATTTAATTTATTCGCTTCAGAATTTCGGGCACATTTTTCTGTTTGCGTGTGTGGGGTACTTTCTGTTCCAGACAGCATTTTATACCAAAAGCATGAGAACCCCCTTCTCTTTTCTCACCAATGGGGGAAGCAGCTCCATTTCTGCCGGCTACAATCTTGGTTGGAAGGAGGCTCAGATTTCCAATTCAATGAATTGGAGGCCCATCGCCATTCCAAAGAGCGCCGCATGGAGGAAGCTGGTTTTGCATAAGGTTTTTCGGAAATTTCAGTGCATTCATTCATTGACATACATACATATTTAAGGGGTAATTTATCTTTTTTTTTGTTCCGAGTTTGAACTATAGGTCTTAGCTAAAGTAATACAAACGCTATGTATTTTAAAAAAAGTGTTCGAATTTTTAAATGGTATTTTTTACAGGAGGTTTGGGATAGCGAAGGTATGACGGGATGGAGGAGATTGAGGCCAAAAGGACAGCAGGCATCTCTGTTAATTGCCATAACCAATTAATTCATTTGCAATAAATATTTAAGGAAGACTTGCGACAAGCGAAGAAAAAGAATAAATCCATTTATTGAAAAATTTGGGTTTTACCATAAAATTTTGGAAATATATGCAGTATTTCTGGTCTCGAGGTTGCTTTAAACTGCATATTCTAACAGCCTTCCACCGCTGACGAGAGACGTTATGCATATACCTCCTAGGTTTCGATAACCGCATAATTAAGATGCAAATTAAAGACTTTACATCCCTTGACCGTCTGCTATTTATCCTAATTAATATCGTAATTAATAATTATCCAAATATCGTATTTATATGCTTTTTTCTAGTCATGACCCCATATTCAGAATACATGACATCTCCCTAGGTCTCGGTCGATTGACGCTAGTTTTTTGGCAACACGCCCTACCACCTGTTTCCCCCATTGCCTTTACTCGTTAGGTCCCCTACTGGAGTGCTTCCGCCTTTCCCGATTGGGTTCTCTCTTTTCGTGGGTCGAATCGCCGTGTCCCTTCCATTTTAGGCCCTCCGTAACGCCCCGGGGGGTCCCGGAACAAATTAGGTAAATTTTTGTGTTGCTTTCCGACGGGCATTGAGAGGTAGAACTTTGAGCATTACACCGGGTAGGGCGTGTGCCAAGGTGGCCGTTACCAAGCATTTTTACCCTTTTCCGAGGGTGTGGGGGATATTTCAAATTTTATTGGATTCCCTTTGGGTGTGTCTCTTTCTCAGGCTCAACTCTGGTGTGCGTCTGCTCGGGTTTTATTCCCACTTTAATATTTGCTGTAGTGAAAAGGTCGGGTGGTTTTTGTTTTGCTGGTTCCGTGGCTGAACTTAGAAAGTTCAAATGGTTAGATAGTATATTAAAAATTAGTTTTTAAATTTTTAGTTATAATGGCTTTTTACACTGTATTCAGCGTAAATCTGCATTTACATATCAAAAATCATGATCCGAAAATCCATTTCCCACCCTCTCCAATCCCTCCTAAAAACCCCCGAATCCATCCCTTCAATTCCTAACCAACTTGAAGCTCCTTCCCCAATCGGCCTCCTCCTTGACTTTCCATTTGTCAAACCCCTTTTCCCCAGCAAGTACCCACTGCATAAATAGCTTTTCCGATTCTTCCACAGATTACTCCAAAGATTCTCCCTCCTCGAGCGCCGTTCGAAAAATTACCCTCGAAATATCCGGTTGCTGGCCTGGTCTACTGTTAGACCAGACTTCCGCTCCTCCTCCTCCTTTCCCTTGGGAGTACCAATTCTAAGCACCATCCATCTTTGTTTCGTGGTATACTTCCCCTCAGCCATCCCAACTAATTACTTCTCTTCTTGACCTGGAAAACCTTTTTATCTTTTTTAAAGTCCAATCTCTTGGTTTCCGTGAGAACATTTCCTGAGCACTTCCCCACCACAAAAACGTTTCGTCTATTAACCCCAAAAGTAGTTTTCCCCGCATGCGATCGTTTCCAAGAATTCATTTTCAAAGGGATTTTCGGCGGGAAACGGAGGTGTTGGGTCCGTTTTGGAGAGCGCGTTTATTAAACAGCGCCGAGCTATTCATTAAACGCAAATAAATCTTCTCAAAAATTTGGGAAAACAGGGTTTTAAAATACAACATCTTCGCTTATTTTGCATTACTGTTAAGGGCTAGTGGTCGCGAAAAGCATCAAGGAAATTCCTGCAGAACCCTCGGGGTAATTAGCTTAATCCTTCCTGCTGCACCTCCTTGCATCAGGAAGGTTGAAGCTGAAAATATTGCCTTTTTTTCATTTTTTCTCCTTGAATTGCTGGCCCTGTAACAATAAGTGAAAGCTGTTAGTCTAGATCCAACATGTGCTATTATTTCCTATTGCCGGAAGTTGCGTCTCGGAGCCGTACGAACACAACACCATTTTTCGCACCGCCTATTTTGACGCTGCGGAAATGATAATCGGAGGGCTCGAATGAGCGTTTATGCTCCTCAAAAATGGCACGTAATGAAGCCAACGTAATGTGAATAAAGTTCTTGTAAAGATATGCTTAGCGTTTGTGTAAATTTCAGCCCAAAATATGCGTCCAAACATCGCTACTACACTTTAGTTATTTCTATTTCCTATTCTGGGGCACAAGGTTCTTATTTTAACTCACTTAGCCTTTCAGCCGGACCAAAACCCTCCCGTTTCCGCGGAACAAATTAATTCCTCCGCGTTTTACCCCTGGACCCATTTAATTATGGAGCCAGTGGCACCAAAAGAAATACAAGAAAAAAGGCTAGAAGCGGATGACGGCCTAGTGGTATTTTTTATTAAGAAGGCAATGATGAGGGTTGTTCGATGGACTGGTTCGATGGATCCCTTTCATTGCAAATTCTACACCAAAGCCGGATGGCCGCAGCTTCATTTGGTTGTCTAATTGGGTTCAGGGTCTTGAGGGCCGTTCTTTCCATTCGCTGTCCACAAAATTGCGTGTTTTTTTTTTGGTACCGTAGTGCGTGTGTGTTTTGGTTTTGCGCTTCGAGTTTTGACAGAATTCGCTCCGTCGAGGGTCGTTGTGGGGCCCAATTCTTCAAAAAATGGGGTTACAATCCTCGGTTCGCAGGCTCTAATTATAAATATTGGCCGTATTTCTGTTCAGAGTAAGTAAGTACTGAAGTAAGACGGACTTTACGAAAAGTAACGACTTCTTGCTCAAAAAGCGGATCTATATTTCTAGTTTTTTGATACTTGAGTGTTTTTCGCAACGATATTAAATTCCTATGGTTTTCCGGCAGTCATCCCCTCGTCTTTTGGCAAATAGACCCAACGAATTTTTAAATTGGACTTGACGCGAATGATTTGACTTTGAATTTCAAGCATATTTTGACTTACGAGCCCCTTTAGCCCAAAACCTTGGCTTATTGCCCGTAAATTGTCCTCGGATGCGATTACCTATTCCACTCCCTCCCATTTTTTGATCGCACCATGTTTTTGGGGTGGATGAAGTTTGACTGGGGTCCCGGTTGGATGCTATTCATCAAACCCTTCCCCGTCGGAACCCTTTCATCGAATCGCCATGCAAATTGACTCCCCCCCTCCAGGCAAGCCCAACCCCATGGACCTCCTCCTGTCGGCTTTTCCTGTGCATCCCCCATCCCATACACTACTGCCCTCGATAACCTTTTCATCCCTTCAACACACCACTTGCTTCCCCCCATTCCTCTCAAATCCTCATCTCGATTCGTGCTCTCACTGCCTCTACATCATCAGCCAATAGGACAGCAGCACACCCCTCATACTCATCCAGTCCTCAATTTACGCTACATTTTTCTCTGACTTACTGACTGCTGTCGTCATTGCTCTCTGACTAAAATTAGCTCTGCTAATACTGCCGTACATGCTTCCAGCATATCATTCGAAGCTCCACCACTTCAAAAACCTAAAAACAACTGCAGTTTCCCAGATAACCCCTTCATTAATGCATCATTCCGGGTAAAATGCCCTCAAAATATACTCCAACCTCTACGTGGCTTTCCCCAAATGCTTCCACTTGTTTTGACGAGCAGTTTAACAAAACCCCATACTTCATGCAATTTTCATCAGCCCTCCAAGTATATTTTTCTTCCAAAAATCCTGTCTGGCAATCAACGTATTAACCTGTTTCTTGTAGGCAGCCCCGGCATTCATGCTGTTTACCCGAAAACACCTGGATCCCAGCATTCCTGAGCAGTTTCTGTGGCTTTTCGTACTTCAGGAAAAACGCGGGCGCTTACTTTATTAAGATCCACACCATTCGTGAATTTTATTTTAGGGCTACCTGGTGGCCATGGTTTAAATAGAGGGTTTTCTGGGAACGGATATTGAAAATACGAGGTTTTTGAGTTTGAGATTTCCGGGTTGGTTATAGAATCGGGGAGCACTTCCGGGGGATAACGGCAACACCGGGGAACATTCACTGCAAAGATCGAGTGGGGGATTTTGGGAAATCTGGGATGGACGCGTTTCTGAAGGATTGCACCAGATGTTGGGGAATTTTCACATTGGGGAAATTTGGGGTTTTTTGATAGCCTACGAGCCGCGATATCTACATGTTATCTGGGTCTTAATCTTGCAAAAATTGATCTGCTATTTCTACTACGCACAAACATTTCTTAGTATTAAAGGGGTCAGGACGGCACAGGAAAAATTAGCATATAACGTGCTTAAGTTCTAAAATTAGCATAAATCGCGTCTGCTCTATTGCTGCCCATTCGTTGCATTCGAATTCCCGGTTGGCTCGCTTCTAAATATAGATGAGCCATGATCTAGTGGGCTTTGCTGATCCCTTTCAGTCAATTGCAAAAAAATGTCCGTAAGCCCATTTTATACAAGACTCCCCCATGGCCAGAAGGTCGGCATAACAGCAGACCTAATAACCCGGGGCCAGCCGTAGACCGAGCAAAATTTCGATCTTTTTTTGTTTACCGGAACTGACTTTCGAACGTGGGGAGTAGATGTGTTTTGCCGGGGGGGCTAGACGTGGTGGTCCGAGAGATGCAAGCGAAAGTGTTTGACCATCTGGAACCACGCGGATGGGGGCAGAAGAACTTTTCTCTCTCGGAATTCGTCAAACGTTGCCCCTGGAATCTTCGGAGGCCGTCCGCACTCCACGGCGGACAATTTGGTTATGCCAGTGTTTGGGGGGTCTCCCATTCCCACTCCGCTTTCAACCCCACCACCCTTTCTCTATTCCTCACCATTCTTTTGGAAGATCTGTCACCGATTTTTGGTCGCTTTATTAACCTGAATTTATTTTATGTATGGATTTTTAGGGCAGAAAAAACCTTATTTTGCAGTATTTTTGGTTTTACGGTCGTGTCGTAAACACGCTCAGCCCTGTTTAGACAATAGTCAGAATGGAAAAATGCTAAAATCCCAACACGCAAAATAGCATTTAAACAATCACCGAATCGGCATTTACACCAACGTCAAGAATCTGCCGGGATTTTGGCTGAATTTTCTGTGGGATTATGGCTGGAATTCCTCATTAAAGGGACAAGGGATAAGTAAACCCCATCCTCATTTAAAATTGGCAACGAACCAACCGGAAATGTTTATGCAATAAAAATGGGCAGAGACTGAGGAAGGGCAGGAGGGAGGAGAGAAGATTTATGCTAATTTTAGAGCTACTTTAGTTTGATTACTGCTTTAACCGTTTTTTTAAAGCTGGTTTAACAGGGCCTTCCTGACCCCTTTAATGTTTTGAGGTTCTCCTTGAACCCATGGTTCTTTATATGTCACTTTTAAATCGTGTTTTTTTTCCAACTGTCTTGATTTAATTAGCTAAATAAACTAATTTACCAACCCTTTTGCAGCCACCTGACTACCAAAGATTAAATGAATCTACCACATCGTGCCAAGCAGAAACGAGCACATTTACATACCTAATACAAACCCCAGTCATTTTTAGACACCACCTCTAACCCTCGCTTTCTCCCTTTCGAATGCCAAATCAACCGTTAGCCCGAAAACCCCGAAAACCCCTCGTGCTCCACCGTCCTTTATTCATCTTACCCCCCAACCGGAACCTCCGGAACCCTCAAACGATGTCCATCCAGAATATATGCACCTAAAACAAGGCGTCGAATCCCTTTCACCCTCAATGTCTCATTCCTTTTCCTTCATTTTTGTGTTACACATTTGCCTCTTCTGCGTCAGAATGAGCCGCCGTTGGCTATTAAGGTAGCTTAAGAAGGGCGAGAACGGCGAGTAAAGCCGTTCTTTAATTATCTTTTCTCGGGTTGTGCCTCTCTGTCCTCTCAATCATCATTGTTCTTTGAGCCATTCCGGGTGTTGACAGTGCATCTCTGGCTTAATTTTAGATTATTTCAGATGAACGACTCTCTTATGGATGATGTGAATTCTGCTCAAGAAGATTGTGTTATATTTCATAAGGTGATGATTCTTCGGACTTGTAAGGGGACGATTTTAGTGGGAATGAGTTTCCATACGCGCGCAAGCCTATCTTGTGCAGAATTATGGGGTGATTCCTAACTGGTTTTTAAAAACTGCAAAACACCCAGCTTAACAGTTGTGAAGCTTTTCAGTGCGAATAAGGTCCATTTTCAAGAAACTCTTGACTTTTTCTCCCTGAAAAACGGCATGACGTTCTTTAACCGGGGGGTTTGTAAGTTTTGAAGATCGATTAGCAGTCAGTGCAAAATTGTGCACAAGTTAGGCTTGGTTGCGTGTAGAAACTCGGCTGTCGCTAAAAGCGCCTCCTTTTTAGAAATGTATACGCAAAATTTAGAGCTCCCCGGACCCATCGAACAATATATTAACAATAGTATTCTTTTCTTGTGTCTATTCCATCATATTCATCCTCGGCCTAGCCGGAAACTTTTCATCATCTTCGTCACGATGAAATACCGAAATATGCAGGTTCGTCGGAATTTTGCGGTTGCCCGCACCCCCCGCGAGACACGCATCAGAAATTTATGAAAAAATGATTTGCGAAAATTGGGTCTATTCTGGTGGAGGGTGGATGGGGGAGGCCAAAAAGTGGGGGATGGATGGGACAAGGAAATTTGACGGCCGAAATTTGAGAACTTTGAACTAGAAAACGATCATATGCTCTTTTTGCATATTGAGGGGTTGGTTTGATGGTCAGGGAGCAATAAGAAAAAATGATCTATGGTTTTGGAGATTGGCTGAGAGTACTGACAAATGTAAAAAACTAATAATCGGTTCTTAATCCCCTTTTCAGACCGTTCAAAACATTTTCATCCTCAACTTGGCGGCCAGTGATATTGTTATCTGTTTGATATCATTGCCAATAACCCCCGTTACCAACATTTATAAAAACTGGTATTTTGGCGCGTTGATGTGCCGGATGATTCCATGGGTACAAGGTTAGTTTTGATTCGGATTCAATTTCTATTATTTGGGAGTTTGGGAAAGCGGGCTTTTAACAAAATCGGCGTTATATGTTTTTTCATTACCAAAAAAATATAAAGAATATATAAAATATATAAAATATCTAAATTTTTATTGCCGTAATACCAAAAACGGAAAATCTGGGTTTTGCTTAATTGAATCGATTTTATTAATTGGAGCAGTTCAAAATACTAAAAAACCAGGACATTATATAGATATATATTTTCTATTTTAGAGTTATAAATCTTTTTGAATTCCAAAATTAACTTTTTAGTAAGGTTAAACCTATAGCCCGAACGACGTTTCTCTAAATCCAATCCTTGATCTTTGCTATACCCTCAATTCATGCAATACTTGCTTCCTTCACCTGTCTAGCCAAGTTGCGAAAAGATCACAAGTTCCTTCCACAAACCCTCTTGAACACCTTTGAAACGTTCATCAGATAGAACCCCCGTCTCCTTCTCTTCCTCCTTAACACCCGCGTCTATCGATTTAGCCTCCCTGAAAGCAAGGTTTCGAAAGGGAACCTTCCCCAAAACCCAAACCCAATTTCCACCCATGAAAAACGCCGAACCCCGACGTGGCCCTGAAGAATAAAACGAAAATGGGGAATATTGCTCGAAAGGAAATATGTTACTAATAGCACGATATTTCAGGTGTTTCAATATTTATTTGCACATTTTCGCTGGGTGCCATCGCCGTCGATCGATATATACTTGTGGTAATTTTATTTTGGTTAAGTAAGTATTGTTTTATTAGGTGCGTCCCCATACACCGCCGATAACCAAGAGGGGTGCCATGTTTTTGACGGGAATTTTATGGAGCGTGTCAATTATTGTAACTTATCCATATGCATATTATATGAAGGAGGAGAGTATTCCTGCTGATGACGAAAATTTGATCGTGGGTTTTATAATTGTTTTTTAACTGCCGTTTGAACGTAGGAAGATTTCCAGAATTGAATTTTCAAGATTTTAAGCTCTAAAGTCAAGTAACCAAAAAAATTAGGAAGTTTTTTTAACATATGAATCAATTAGTGTGCTAGCTTTTAAAAACCCGCATATTGACAACTTTATATATGTTGTATAAACATTTTTATAGCCGATGTGTGGCCAGTTCTGCACGGAAGAATGGCCAAATCCATATACACGACGAGCCTATACATTAGTTGTTATGGTAAGTAAGTGGACTCTCTGGACGCAAAGGGTCTCGAATAAATTACTGCAAAAGTAAGGCCAAGTGCGGACGATTTTGCAAAACTAGACTCCAGAAAATTAGAAAGCGTAAAAGCCCCATTTTTAGATCGGTCAATTTGTCGTGCCATTCCTCCTGATGGCTTTTTGCTATACAACAATCTTCTCAAAGCTAAGGAATAGGACAAAGGCATGTCGTTCATCCTTTTAATGAACTGCATGAATTATTCAAATTCCCTAATTAGTATTATTTCTATTTCCGAATTTGCAGGTTCGTCTCCGCAAGATGGACGCTCGCTCGGTGGCGCTGGAGAGCAGTTGTGTCATCAATCACGAAGAAAAGCAGACTGACCAGGCAAAGCACACTTTTTTTGGAGGAATCGCAACACGAAAAACGTGTCGACCGTCCAGTTCTGTCGAGGCTTTGTTATCGTAGAGGGCAGATCTTTCGCGAATTTTGCTTTGGGAAATTGAAAATCGGAGTGGATAGGGTTTGGCGAATTTAATAAGGGTTACAGCGAAAATTAGGTTAAGTAAAGTAAGTATTTTGATAAAAACCGTCATTTTTAAGAGGGGTTAACAATATTTTTACGAAAACCAAACATTAACATCTATCGGAAATAGTTTCGTTTTTCAAAAATTTGAGATCAGTGCAGTCACGTTTACGCACCTAATGGCGTAACAAACAGACCTTCTTCTCCTATCGAGATATCAACCGGCATACTAATAAAAACAACATACGAAGTAGCACATCCACTTCTTTATAAATCAATTTTATTTTTATTAAATTATCCATTTCAGTTCCAAAAAAACTTCCTCGACCAACAAGGCAAAGATCGACAACGAATCCTAATGCAATCAAAACGCACAACAAATATCCTTGTAGCAATGGTAATTTCCAAAACTCAACCTAATTGCCAATGCCTTTAGGTAGTAATCTTTGGCCTTACATGGCTACCCCACAATGTCGTCTCACTATTAATAGAATATGACGAAACACAAAAATTCTTTCATCTCTATGGCAGGGACGACCTTGATATATCCTATTTACTCAATTTATTCACTCATAGGTAACCTTGGATTATCCACCCTCTCATTTTATAATCTATTCCAGTTTTGCGATGACAAACAACGTCGCGAATCCTGTCCTCTATGCTTGGCTGAATCCAAAATTCAGAGATTATGTAATAAGGGCAATCACTGGGCAAAGGCAGCAAAGCACCAGGTAGACGCTCTCATTCAATTCCCATTAATGCAATATTATTCAATATTTAGGGTAATTTCGCATCAAGGCTCCCGCACGGCCCCGCCAACATCAACCACCGGCGTCGAGCGCCCCTCAAAAAACACCAAAAAGAAAAGTGAGGATATATTATTTTTTTTGGGAATGCATAACTGGTGTTACTAACATTTTCGACTAACAAAAACGAATGATTCCCCGAAATCTTGCTGTCGATTGGGTATGCAAAGGCTTAATATTTAGTTCTCCAGTTCTCCGGGTTCACGGCGACGAATTCGATGCTGAAGAAATTGATCGAGAACAAGAAGTGGGGGATTAGAGTTTGAACACAGTTTATTCGAGACTTGTAGATCGTCGATTCAAGAGAACGGGCAGACAGCATTGGGGACGGCTAGTGCTTATGAGGCTGTCGAATTTGGGGAGAACGATGTGTTCGTATAATGGCATTTATGCACGCATTGTACAGTATGAAATAAATTTGGATTTGACCGTTTGGCATCGAAATAAAATTGAATCGATGAACTCGTGGAAAACTCTTTTTTTTTGAGCTGCAAGTCTGAGTTCTTAGCAATAGCCTAAAATATGTTGAGGTTTCAAAAGATGCTGCGAAAAAAGGATTACGATGGCGATGCTTTTCTACCTTACTCAAGCAAACGTCTTATCTAACTATGCTTTTTCGGTAATAGATTTCCTACGGTTTGAGGGGTGATTTACAGGGCATTGGAATGCATCCGCGAGAAGCGTTGAAAGTCTCAAGTTTGGAAGCGTAATATTTTTTGAATATAGCCAAATCATTTGGTTTTTAAAAAATTCAAAAAAGTAATAAGGAAGAGCATGCGACGTCCATGAAAACCTATGTCTATCAAAGCAATTTTAAGCGACGGTAAGGCGTGAATAGTTGTTTTACTACGTACGTGCGTACGACTTGATCTGAAGTGATTCCCGTCCACTTAGCGTACCCTTTCCATAGTACCCTCAGCACCTACTACCCTAACCCCCCTCCTCAGCTCGTTTTCTCCTCATTTGGCTAGCACGGCTTTTATTGGGGGCCATTTCACTAATGCGCAAATTGCTCCGACGGCCGCTTTTTTCTTGTGTGGTCCGGCCCTCGGATCAATGTCAGGTTGTCTAAATTGGGGGGTTCTGTGTGTGCGGGTGGAGTATAAGGGAAGGAGTAAAAAAGAGGGAGAGGGGCGGAGGGCTATGGCTATATGACCGATCTCTCTCTCAATGGCTAGGCTTATGCTTTTGGGAGTGGTAGAGGCTATTCAATAGGTGACAGCTTGGTTACATGACTTCGTATTACCCTTGAGTGGATATGGAAAAATTAGAATGCGAAATCGGCGGGTAGGTTGGGTGGGGGATAAATGGAAAAATGTGGAATTTTAAGGTTAATTTTCATGTTGTCCATTAAATCCGTTATACTAATGGAGTTTATACGCTGTTCCTCAATCTAATTTCAGTTATTAACCATTTAAAATCTTTTCTGGTCTCCTTTAAAATTGATTTTGGAAGCTTTCCTCAGTGTCGGGTGCTAAGTTTATTTCCATATTTATTCATCACAAAAAACCACATCAACTGATCCACGACATCTTAAATAAAGAGAAACAAATTCACAATATCTCTAAGCGCAATCATCGAAATGGAAAGGTCACAAAATCAATAAAAAAAATGCCAGAAAGAAAACGAATGGGGGGTCGGGTGGATGAACATGTATTCGCTGGCTCAGATCAAATTGATGACAAGGGGACGAGGCGTTTTGTGGGGGGGATCATTTTCACGGCTTGTTGCTTTTGTATTAAAGTGGAAAGACCGTAGACCGGGTTTTGACAGTGGGCTGCCTCCGAGAATGGTATTAAAAGAGTGAGGACAGCTCAACAGATCTGGCAAGACAAAGAAAAGGAGACGACGCATCTTTTAGGGATTGCGGACCCGCCCGGTGATTTTCGGTTAAGCTCCGACAATTTTGGAAAATATCGAAAATAAGAGCTCAAATGTTCAAAACCAGATTCCTATCTCAAATATTGTAATAGAAAAACGGTCAAATGTTGACTTCTTGCGTTGAGAAAAACAATTGATTAAAAACGCATCTACTTTTTATTTTTTAATGATATGTTAATTGCTTAGCTTCAAAATGTTTACGTTTTCTAATCCTTCAATAGCATATTGCTCATCAATTTTGGTGGTCCGCTAAAGGGGGGGGGGCATAAGCTAGCCAACAGGTACTTCGTAAAACAGATTTGTTTTGGGGTGTGAATTGGATCCACTACAATTGGATTCGAGAAGGATTTAATGTGGAAAAAAGCATTAGTTGAAATGTAGTTTTGGTCTTACTGGGTCCAGTATTGGGCCGATGGCTGGTGAGAGTCGACCGGTAGTTCGGCGTGCATTCCGGGCGGAGCAGTGCCCATCTCCAACGAGTTCAGCACGGCAGAGACGGGGAGTCCGAGGCCAAGGTCTGAAAAGAAACACGTTTATAAAGTGCATAGTATTTTAGTTATTATGTATTTAAGATTTTAGAAACAGGGTTTTCCCTACAATAGAAGCAAAATTTCCGTTATTATAAAAAATATCATAAAATGCCCCCCTGAGCTTCATAACGCCGCCTATTCCCGAGTAATCAATCAAAATTGCACCCAGAATCAAAAAATCTCAATAAAGGTCATGTTTATCTCATGTTTTATCAGAGTTGTTAATAAAACGTGATTGGTCGTTTAAAGTCGAGTTAGTCAATACCAATGACTTTTACACGACATTTTCGGTATTTTCGTTAATCGAGAAAATATAAGTCCCTCTCGATCCTGAGCGCCCATCCTTTTAATGATACCTCTCCTGCTAGTAATAAAACAATTAAAGTCCTGAGCCCTTGTTAGATGAACTAGGGTGGCTTTTGTAGATGCTAAATTCAAATCCCGAAAAATTTTGCAAACAATCGCACACCCATTTCCGGCAAGGTTTGAAAAAACCGGCTGGCCGGACCGAAGAGAGCCACGGACAGACAGCACATTGTCAGATCCATTTGGAGATACACCCTTTGAGGCGCCAAAATGAAACGGTTTGACAAAGCGACCGTATCTATTCACCAATAGAGCGGGGAAACTTTGGGGCTTGAACATTCGCTCCTATTCTTGAAATGGTCCTCACCCCCCCGCCGATGACCCGCCACCTCCACCCCGCTTAGATTGTTGCTGTACCCCCGGGATTGTCGATTTACGATGGCCGGCCACCTCGGCGACATCGAGCTTTGATTGGCAACCATCTGAGTGCCGTAAAATGCCACGTGTTGGCGAAAAATTGGTGAGAACCATATCCTTCCGCTGTGTGTGGGGCTCTCCCCTCTCTTCAACACTCACCACCCACGACTCAACCGAGGATTTGGAAGGTTTTCGAAAGAAAGGCCCGGGAAAGCGGATTTCGTTTCCAGGCAACGAGTTAGTCATAGCCTGGGATACCGTAGACCTGAACTCTATTCCCCGCTGAGTTCCGCCCCGTTGATTGCCACTTTATAGAGAAACTATATTATATAAAAGCTTTGATGCGAAGAGCTAGATTATTCAGCATATAATACATAAGATTATACTACATAAAAGTTCCAATTCATGAGCTAAACTAGCATAACAGTATAGTTCTTCTCCTACCTTGAACAGTAGATTGAGCCAAAGAATTAGCCGTCGACATGCTCATCGCGGTCGTGGAAAATGGTTGATTGGTCACAGATGAATTCATCGAGCGGGCGTATGGCTAAATGTTTTTGATAACAGAATATATAAGCCAGGCAGGAGTAAAGTGATTTAGAGCCTAAACTTACATGGAACGAAGCTGGGTCATAGCGCGCGGCCGAAAACATATGATGATAAGGCCCGAAATCCGTAGGCGGCTGTGGTGGCATACCAACGTTTGCAAACGTAAAGCTAAAAATGTACAGCTAAGAGGTTGATTTCCTTTACTTACCCATAGGGGTCGTGCGCCAGGTTGCTGACGTACATTTGCCCGGGGTTGGCGGAGACGAAGCTGTAACAACTTAATGTGAGATAAATAATGCATTCAATAAACACGATTCAAGAAAAATATTTCAAAGGCACTTACTTTTGCGTGACAGAAGCTGGGGATCCTCCTAGGGGTTGAGCACCCAACGATGATCCGCTTGGGGTACTGCCGGATGGTGGGGGTTGAGGAGTACCATTTCCAAGTGATGGTTCAACACATCCAGGTCGCTTGCTGCGAAGCTTTTCCTCGCGTCTCCATTTTGCTCGTCGGTTCGAGAACCATACCTAGAAATCAACGTTAGATACTAATCTAAATAGTCTCTAGGTAAGGTATGTTTTAAAAAGAATGCTTGGATTTAAAACCCGTTACCGCAAGGCAATAGATAGCATTTTAGCCCTGTATCAGTGGCACTCTAACTTTCCGATTCGTTTTTATCTACCCCAAAAGGTTTCATTAAACTCGACTAATTCACGCAATCACGGAAATTGAGCCGTCACCCGGGACACCACCGTACTACTCCCCACCCCGCAGCCACCTGTCGTCCCGGAAATACGGTAAAAAAGATTGATGATCCCCGGTGCGCCCCGAGCGCGTTTCCGCCCCGCAGCCAGCTGGCTCGGCCATGTAGGTGTGTGTTTTGCAAATTCAAATACAGGATGTTTGGCGCTATTCTAGGGCCTGCGAGATAGAAAGCTAATATTTAAATATCTTGACGTTTTAGCCTTGGTCTTTTGCATCGGCTGATTCTATTTCCGGCGTATGACACTTGCTGATTAACAGCGAGAGATAGGGAAGGAGCGCCGCAGTTTTTTTTTAAAGCCTAATACTAATAGCGAAACGACACTTTTTCAAAAACCGGTCTGTCGAGTCTCTTAATTCTGAACCTAATGACTTTTTTTCTGAGCTAAAATTTTTTTCCTTAAGCCTCTAGGTTTGAAAAAACCTAAGGAAATTTGTATGCAAATGCCGACACCTGAAATATTAGGCTATCGACTGATTTTAGTACCCTCCACGCCCAAAAACCTCAAAATAGGGTGATGGGAATTTGAGGGATGAACATGGCCGATCGATCATTGTATGGGGTGAGTGACAGCCTTGCCGTCATATTATCGGGACAGTCCATCGAGAGTCTCTATCCATTCGATCCTCACCCTCAACCAGCCAGTCCTCCCCTCGTTGCAAAGTGCTATATATTCTCCGGGCCATCAGATACCGCACACGCGCACCCAATAGAAACACCAAAATTTTCTCATCAAATAGGGGAGTGAACGCGCGAAAAGTGGGCGTAGGAGTGGAGTGTAGTGGAAATTCCATCAGAATTTTGGCTAAAGCGTCCATAGAAAAAGGGTACATTCCCGTGTGATTTTGCTATAGGTTTTAAAGCGCACGGTCAGGTTGTTGTACGCATACACCTAAGTACGCCCTCGCTTTGCCGAATCTCCATGCGTAATTAGGTGTATGCGTAGTCTGCCTGAACGTGCGCTTAAGAACTTCCAAAAGCACAATAAAAATCCCCTTAATATTCTCAAAAACCTTTTCAGACTCGATTAATACTCACCTGTATCCGCGCTTCCGGAAGCCCGATCTTCTGAGCTAATCGCTCGCGCGCGAACACATCAGGGTAGTGGGTTCGCTCAAATTCTGAAAATTCACTATACCACGTGTCTATAAATCGGTAGTCATTCAAGGTGATCGGGACCTAATTATGTAATGATTGGGTGATTGAACGCAAGTGGAAGGTCATTGACAGGCGCGAATGATGGCCATGATCGATAAGGTTTTTGGGATGAGCGAGGAGGGAAAGTATATTTGTTAATATTGCGATTCAAATCAACCACCAACCTTTCTCTAGGGCCTCAATCTGCTCTTGGCTGAAGGATGTTCGGTTTCGCTGTAGCTTGCGCTTGAGGCGCATGCGTGCGGCCACGTCCTCGTCGGGGTCGTTTGGTGGCTTTTGATCCTCATCTAAAAAGGAAACGATTTATTCGGAAATTTTTTTAAGTCGCTAGGGAATACTCAGGGTAATCTACGCTAAGAAAAGCCGCATGACTACTAATCGAGTCTATTGGAGGTAAAAACCGGACGGGATGGTATGTGTATTCCGTTCCGATAGGGCGAAAGGGTTCAGAACTTATTTTTAGGGATGTGTCATGGAAGCTAGGCAAAAATTATTTGCGATACGGTACTTGTAGGCCTCCTAATAGATGTCAGATAAAAAAAAGATGGACTTCAGATGGCAGTATCGACCCAGTAAAAATACAGAATAAACCATCTCGACACTTTGGGAGCGCCTGATTGGATTACTGTCATCGTCGGGGGGAAGGTAGTGGGGGGCTAGGGTAAACAGGGTAATTCGATTAGCCCCTTGAGGTTTCTTCTAAAACGAAAAGAAGAAGGCCCTGACCCTTGTCGCGGTGATTCTTCCTCGATGCTGTGGCCCTAGAACGATGGGCGGGCATCTGAAGCGGGCCCTGGAGCAGCAACGGCGAGCTGAGCATCTCGAATGCGACCCGCCGTAACCCTTGAGGTCCTTCTATCACACGCCCCCTTACCCATCAAATCAAATCTACCATGACAGCTCACCCTACCCCATCCCCACCATGTCAACCCTTCCCCCCCCCTTCTCCCGCTTCCTATCCGACACTTTCCTAACTACAACTATGTACAGACAATTCGACGATCAAACCCGAGGGGAGGGGAGGTGGGTGATGGATAAGATTTGAGAACAGAAGAGGAGTGTGAGTCTCACGCTGTTGCATAGAGGATGTGGCGGCGAAGACGCGATGATGGTAGGGATCCGTGGCTGCAGGAGTTCGGGCGGGCGGCACACCGCTCGCGCTCAGGGAGGATGGCCGGCTGTCGCGTGTGATTAGGATCACCGGGTCGTCAAGTGGAGAGCCCCGGAATGGATGGGGAGGAGACTGAAGGGGTGGATGGGGGAAAAGGGGAGGGGACGACGATGCACACCACACAACGCACGGCTTGTCTTTACGGAAAACCCACTGGCTGTGGGTACCGCCCAGATACTCGCGCCCACCGTATACCTCGCCCAATCCCTGAGATGGCGATTGGAAAAAATTGTGGAGAGCTATGTGAGGATTCATGGCGGTAGGTGGGGAAGAGGTTAGGATTCGGAAGTCGGAAGGTAGGTTGATGAAGCGGGGATTAGGTTAGACATGGTCAAGTCTACAAAAATCTACGAGTTTGAAACAACATGTTCAACAAGTACGAGAAATGCTCGCCTGTAACGAAACACCAGAATTAAATTAAATAAAATGTCCCAAATACCGTCGATAGCTTTCTTGCCTTCTCCGCCTCTTAAAATTAGTTCAAGCAATATTCACTACAATTATTGACAAGGAAACTATCCGGAAGGTTTTTATATCTGAATACATAAAAAATTACTAGAGATTACACCGATATTGGTTGCATACCGTATTCCTTGAAAAATCACTATAACCCGTATTTAGTAAAATTACTGTTATGAAAAGGCGCGCAAAATAGGAAACCATGAGCGTGACAACGTAGCAAAGTGAGGGAATGAAGGACTGTCGATGCGGGGGGCTGCTTCGGGCGACTAGTAATCGGGCTGTCAACTATTGACGGTTAGATCTAGATAACTAATAGGGGGGTGGGTCCGGAAGGGATCGTCATTAACAGAATCGATTCGGAATGTGGAGGTGAATATTGTTGGACTTTCAGGGACTTTAAGGGAGTGGTGTCTAAAGGTTAATTAGCACAGCTTAACCTAGCTCTAGTCAATCCAAAATCACAACCTTGAATACGAATTCTATACCAAACATATAACTACCGTAACCAGGAAAGTGTTGCGCGGCAATCGGCCCGTCTCGGGCTTCCCAGCGCGGTCCCCCTTATATAATGCGCGGAGCCTAATTTCATTTGCAATGTTAGCTTTGGAGGAAGAATTAGATTAGGGCGCCCCCTCCACGTCGAATGTGCGATCAATATAGACAGGGCAGGCCCGTTCATATTCCGTTCCCCTAATTCGATCTAACATACTGGCCGGTGGAGCGTTGGGTTGGGGCTATGCGACGGTCATTGTGCGCTAACCATCCACTTTTCTTTTCCTTTTCGATCATTCGTCTGCACTCTAAAGGGAGAGAGACAGACACCGATATCTTGGCAGAGGTCGGCCAGCTAATTCGCTGTGAATACGTTGAGGCCGGGATAGGCTGTCGGTTAGTCTCACTATTTGCACTGGTTCCTTTTTGGTAGAGGTTTTAGTTGCTTAATCAAGCTGATGGCTTTGACTCAAGTTTTTACTTTGAAAACTGAATTTCAGCTCCAAAAATCAGATGAAGCGCTTTGCTTCTGCGCTGTTCTGGTATTATGGCGATTTTAACTCAGTTCAAAGTAGTAAAACCGGATCGAATTAGTTAGACTATCTATTTTACGGTCCCTTTTTGGTTATTTAATTGCTCGAAAAATGTAAGGGCTCCTATATTTTAGTACTTAACCTACTTTTCCTTTGATCCTATCCTACCACCCCTGTTAGTCGGCAGCCTTTTTTGAATCTAACTAGGCATTAGTTCACATTAAATTCAGCAAAGTCTCCTGGTTACTAAATCTATATGGCCCATTCAACAGAAAAATCACTGAGAAAAACCTTATGCATTTATCCTCTTTCTGCCATTCTTGGGAAATCTCTGACTTCTCAACCAATCTCCCATTTAGCACCACAAACTTCCGCCCCTCGGGCTACAGTAACAACCCATACATCTTCCCTTATCACTTCTACAGTAATCTTGCGAAATCCACATTCCTGAAAACCACCGCCCATCCTTTCCCCGGATCTACCGGAATCCCCCCAAAAAAAACAGTCTGCCCATCCCGAGAACCATGTTCTTCTACAATCCTCCATCGAGTCTTCCATTCCCTTTTTATACCAATGGATATCCATTTTTTGGGTGGCTCGTGATGGCGGCGTTGTAGAGATTTTCGGAAGGGGGCCGCGCCAGATGGGAGAAAGTTTTTCTCCGCCGGGAGCACTCGATGGTCCTGGCTGCACCTCGTGTTGCCTCGAACCCAGTCAATCCTTCAGTCCTTCACTCAACCCTCCCTCTGCCCCTCCTTCTCCTCTAATGGGCAGTGGAGCGTGAGGGGGGAGGGGAGGTGAAGGTGGAGGAAGACGACGACGCCTTATCACTCCCAAATCACCCAGCCCCAACCAACCAGCCTTCTTCCAATAGGCAAAAGGTAGGAAGGAAGAGAGGTGGAAACGAGGGATCGAGGCCATCACCACAAAATAGATTTTTCTCGAGGGACCGAGTAAGAAGTGGGGGGGTGGTATGAGTCTTTCAACATCTGATTGGAATCGCTACGGGCCCAGAAAACAGAAATTTTGAATTTTAAGTATAACTAAAAATGGCAGTGGTTTACTGATTTGGGCAAAAACTAACTCTCTAAAAAGTGAATGAAGGACTAAAGACTATTTAGCTGCGCATTTGAATTATTTGTGGCGTCTCAAACTACTAGTAAAAACAGGGTTTTGCCATCAAAAAAACTTGTAGTATGCAAAATGCCATTAAGGCCAGCTTTAGAGAACCAGCGAAGGTTGCAATAGTTTTTACAAGCAGAGATCTGCACAAAAATCTGAATCTACATCTAAAGATAGCAGATCCTTTGAATTTCTTGATTCTTGTAAAATTAAAGGCTTAAAACCTAAACCTCCTAAGACCTAAACACGTTACATTAAATATATTTTCAAAAGTTTGAAGCCGAATCTTCAAATTTTGCTCGATAAAAACATCCTGAAACAACCAATGTTCCACTTGCATGCTACACATTTCAAACGCCCCACCCACTGTCCACCCAATTTGTGAACAGTTCAAAAAAAGCGGCAAATGCCGAACAAGCACACGTAATGGAGATCCGGTCTCGATTGGCGCTAAATGGAACAGGTGGGCCCAGAAATGAAGCGATGAGCGGAAGAGGGAGGAAAGAATTAAGGGGGTGGGCATGGGGATGGGATGGCCTCTAGCCACCTAGTCCGACACTTCATTTGACATTAACACTATCTCGGACATTAATCGGACACCCTCCAGCCCCCGCACTCATTCCGAACATTGCCCAATTACGACCTTAGATTTCTGTCGCACAAAATGGACGGCACGTGGATAGGGTGTGGGGGGCATTCGTATATATAAATTTGAATGTTACAATGCGCGCGTAACGTTAAACTTTTAGGTTACGGCCTTGCACAAGGATTCTAGCCATGATCTCGACAGTCAAAATCCCGGCAGCCAGCATTCCGACATATGCTTAAGGCTAGCTTGAATGTCACCTTGTTTTAAACAATTATTTTTGGCTCGGAATTCCTGCTGATTTTTGACCAGTCGGAATTTAGAACGTCGGGATTTGAGGTATCAATATTTTCGCGCTTTCGCCTTTTACAAACGTCTTTGATATATGCTAATACTAAAAATCGGAATTTCGTAATTTCACGACGCCTCAATTTCAAATACCACACCGATAACTTAAAAGTCAGGATGCATGAAAATAATTGGAAACCAGCCCATGATCATCTGCTATGCTGTCAGTCCCGTAAAATTCAGATAGGCCGAGTTTTGCCTGCTGCAGTTTGCACATTTTAAAACCGATCCATTCTAAAATTTCCGCATATAAATTACGCATTTTGATTTTAGATATTTTTATGTTATGACCCAAAAGACATCTTTCAAAACCCTTTCAGTAGAAGCTTTCATTTTTGGTATCGTCTGTAATTTATCGATCCCTCTAAAACGTACCTCTCGATAGAAAATCCTCGCTCTCCTTTTTCGTTTCCATCGGATTCTGCTGAGAGAAGGGAAGTTGCATGACGCCCGTCATTTGTACGGGCCACTGTCCATACCACTGCGAGGAAGGATACCTGTAATTTTACCCACATTACTTTAAACGTTAACAATTCTAGGTATGAGCGAGAATCGATTCCAGAAAATGTGATACTAGACTTTGTTACAGATGTACCCCCCTGCCAATAATCCGTCAACGACTTTGGTCATGAACCAGGGAAAAGATTTGTCGACATCGTCGTCCGTTGGAGTTAAGCGGATTATTGGGATTCGAAGGTTCAGATTATGTATTAGTCATTGTCTCGTTTCAAAATTCTTATATGAAAATTGTTCGTTTTTCGGCTATATTAATAAAGCTAGAAATACGAATAAGAAACACCCAGAGACAAGTTAAATGGTGAATTTTTATAGCAGATCCAAAAAGAAATCCCAAAAATGGCTTCAACGCATCTTGTGCTCACAGTGTAACATTTTACGATAAATATAGCCACCGATCCGAATTCAATGAGCTATTTTAGGGATGTGCAGCGTTTAGGAAGCCGCAGAAAACCACGGACCGCAAATTACGGTGGCATTGTAAACGGAGAGTTCATATTGAAGCCCTAGAATTTCATGAATCATTGCGTCGTTTCCAATTTTTGATGCTCATGGAAAGGCGCAGAAAAATTAGCTATTTTAAGTTTGCGTGCAGCTAATTATGTTTTATTATAACGCCGAATCTAGAAAATGTATAAAAACCGTTTGTATTTGTTCCTTACCGTAGTCCGGCGTAAAATTCGGTTTGCATGGCTTGTTGTTCTTTTCGAGCGGCAAGAGTGCGAAGTACTCGATTGATTGAAGAGACCTGTAAAACTTTGTGTAGATGTTTATTCTAAAAATTTAAAATTATTAGCTTTCACTTCGCAAAAAATTGGTTTGAATAAGAGTTAAAGATGTTAGAGGCCGTTTGAAAATTAAAAGAAAATCTGAACAATTATATATATAAATATAAGTGGTTTAGCATTTTGAAACCAAACGAAATCTTGTACAAAACCGTGCGGCTCTGATTTTCTCCTAAAAGAAGACGGCTGATCCAGATAATTGGCTTAACAAGGACGGGATTATGACGGAGAAAAAGAAGCCTATTACCCTCAAGGGTTCACTTTGTCGTGGCAGTATAACTCAATATTATTCCATTGTTCCATTCAACACCTATAGACATCGGCTTATTCTAGCCACCCCCGCGCAACAAGGAATTACCGTTTTTTCTATGAAATACTTGCTAAAGGTTCCTTTAAAATATTCTGAATTTAAAGCCATCAAAAGCGAAACAGGAAATATTTGTGGTACAATGGAATGGAAATTGGAATCATGTTCGCCCGGTTTACAGTCAAGATCGAAAAACGACTTTTTATGACTAAAACACGATTTCCGGGGAGATGCCCTGGGGAACGATGAGTTATGCCCGAACTGCGTAGTGCAGATTAAAGGGATACGGTAATTGGGCGGCTGAACTGTGTCCCTAGAGATGGTCTATTTCATTAAAAACGGCGGTTCAGCTCGACGAATCAATAGGGTGGGGAGACGTCAGAAGATAACTACAAAAAGTTTCGTTTTTTGGCTTCGGACGTCGTCAGCAAGTTCATTAAGGGTTGGCTAAAGTGCAAATGATGCTAATATGACTTGTAGGTTAAAGTTTGTTTGAAAGTACTTCCAAAATATCGAAAACCTGGTTTTCTAATTCCAAAACTAAAGGGTCATGGAACTCAAATGTATCTCAAAATTTGGGCAAGAGAAAAAGCCTTTAGTTAGGGGGTGTACTTGGACATATTCTATCAAGAAGGGATGCGGTTCAAGGCAATTAACCCTCGATTATCGGATTAAGGGCGTCTGCCATTTTCAATGGGTTGAAGGGAAGTGTAGGTGAGAAAGAGATGAGGTCGGATTCGAGAATTTAGGGATCAGTTTTATATAAATTTATACCGTCTTTTCTTTCCGAAAGGCTAATGATCACGCCATCTCAACAAAATTATGGTACGGTAGCCTTTCCACATTGCTATTGGTCAAGCATCGGCCAATAGAAAATATACAGGGTCTGTAAAGAGGATGAACGACTTCTTGTGACTTTGTAGGAATAAAGTTACTCCAGAAAAAGCCTGGTGAAATAAATATCCTCGTATTCTTTAGCAATCGTGTTAGTTCCAAATTTTCAAATTTTGTAACGTAGAGCCCATGCCACGCGAATCCAAATACCTATAGCGCCTTATAACACCATCCTTCAATGAAACCAGAAAAATAAAATTCGAAAAAGTTTTCCGTTCGTGTCTAGGGCAAACAGGAAATGAACAGAGGATGGAGGGGGAAGGGATTACCTCTTATGGAATTGGGGAGGAAAGAAGGCGGGCGATGAGTGAGTACCACTACAGGATTGGGTTAATGCCCATCAGACATAGCTCTCCTTGGGGGATACAAAAAAGGTTGGAGGGTCTCGTGGGTAGGGGAAAGTACTATCTTCATAGTTCATTAGAGCAATGAATTTGTTGTTTTATGTACAACAAGCGTCATTCTTTAATGATTTTAATCGCAGTTGCGTGGTGGCGCAGTAGACGGGGGATTTTTCGAAAAATATGTGGGTCCATACGTCAATTTTCAAGAAGAAAAACTGGTTCTATAGAAAACAAGAAAGGTTGTAACATAGTTTTAGGCATTATAATGATTATAACGGCACTTGTCAAAGATTTGCAAGGTAAGTAACATAAAAAATGAAGTAAGAATTTAAATAATCCTAAAACCCGTTAAAAGGATTCACTTACCGATGGGATGGTATCTGGAGAACAGATGCCGTCGGTAAGAAGCCGATCGCGGATCTCCCACGCGAAAATCGAAGGTTGCTCCCGCTTGTAGGCTTCAATCTTTGACACAACACCACCGGTTGCAACGCGAGGCTGAAAATTGAGATTATAAGGCCGCGGTTTCAGATGTTAATCGAGTTTTGGTATGTTATATCGCCTATTCTATTGGGACTGAAATTCCAAACGATTTTCAGACGAACCAAACGTCAAAAACGAATTTAAAACGATAATCTTACAGAAAGTTCCCTCTGCCGAGAGCCGATTTTACATATTTTTGGCCCAACCTTAAGAAACTTTCCTGAAAAACCCTTATTTTTGAAAACTCTTTGTAAAAATTACTTTTAAAAATTCCTAACTCTATCGAATGCGCTACATATCATTGGAAAATTTCTATATCACCTAAAAACAAGGTCTTATTAATTATGACAGGTCCCATTAAAAACAAGGCGAGCCCGTTCCGATATTAACACTCTGTTGTGCGGGTGTTGAAAGTGGCAATAAGTCTCCCTGGCAAGAAAGATGGGTTTGTTTTATCAAGGGATATCGAGACTTTTTGTAGCCCGCCGCCGCCGGTCCGACACGCCTTTTTCTTTGCAGTTTTTTCTTGTCACCTCGCCCGCTGGCGACCCATTTTTCAGCAAAAATTGATTTTTGACGGCAATATCTCTTCATAAAAACTGGTATGGATGCAATTTCTAGATTGCACGTAGTCAAAAATAGCGGTGTGGATGATTTGCAACACTAGATTTCTATCGGGGTGGGGAGAGGGATTGGATCGAAATGTGTTATCGAATCGAAATGATGAACAGGGCGTATCAGGCATTATGTTTAAATACGAGGAAATCAGCTAATTCTATCACCTACTAGACAAATGCCTTATCATTATATTTTAACACTTACTTTTGAACCGCCAATGGCTCTTGGTCGTATGCTACCGGATTCATAGTATCGGCATAGTATCTTTGAGACGCACCTAGAAAATTATGGAATTTAATAAACGACATATGTAATACCCGTTGGAAACGCAAAGCTTTCTTGAGATATCGCACGGTCTTGCTCCACTCCGCGCCAAATCGACAATCATTTGTCGAGTTTTATCCGGAAGCGGCCGGCCATTCACGAATACTCCGCCCAGCTGATTGACACCCGTATGACCGGCATCTGCAAAGACAAATTAGCATTGGGCGTCTATTGAGCTTAATTTAGTTATCGTATTTATTTTATTGCCGGTGTTCTCGTTGTGTTAGTTTCTTAAACTTTTGCAACTTTAGTTATTTACAGACCTTGATTCAATACTCTTTACAAGCACGTATACTTCATAAGAAAATGCAATAAAAGGCAATAAAATTAGCTAAGCATGTTATATATGCTAGCTGCCTTTTACTAGTTTCTGTCGTTTCGGAGTTATTTTCGGTGGTAGTATCCTGATAACAATCACTTTTTGCTATTACCTTTACTCTAGTTGACACTCCGCTCTCCTATGATTAATCTTTCATTTCCAACCTTTTTGCGCTCAAAAATCACAGTCATGGCTAGGTGTTAATTTAAGGAGAATTTTTTGGCAGGTTGAGCATCGGTCCCCTGGGGGGCTATAGAGAGGGTTATAAGGACAGGTCTTCGTGAGGTGGGTGGCTTTCGAATCTATCGGTCGGGCCTTGGGAGCCATCCGATGACACAAAAACAGTTTCCCTTTATGGCCGTTCGAACAGGGCTAGAGGGGAAGAAAGAGTGAAAAAGGAAAAGAGGAGGACAACGGCTCCGATCCACCACCACCACCCTCATAAAGGCAAGAATAGCTAAATTTTTTGAGAAAACTTTGACGACCTTGCCCCATCTAGGGGGTTCGGTTGGATGCGGGGGCAAGTTGGTAACGGTCGACTATGGGTGAAAAATTAGCATATGGATGGGTATTATGTGTGTTGGAGGGGGACGTTGATGTAGGTAGGTAGAAACTGGGAACATGCGGCCAAAAACTGGACCACAGATTTTTCGCTTTTTGGTAAATAATTTTTTTTGATCCTTCTAGATATAAAAAAGACCGGCTGTGTGTGCTTGGGAATGCAACCTCCGTAAGTATTTCCCGCACCCATAGCCTCAGGGAAGGGATTTTAAGGTAGGTGCGATACGTCATTAAGACCGTAATGGTCCTAGGATGAATGCACACACCAGAGATTTAAAAAATATATAGTTATTCTCACTATTAAAATTAAGTTTTTGGAATGATCTCGAAAAACCTCTTTTTAGGAGGGAATTAGCACTGGCTGGAGGTGTCTAGAGCCCATATAAAGACGCAAAAGCGGATCATTTTTTTTGTACGAGGATTTGGGAACAACTATGCAAAGTGAGGACTACCACGGCTGCAAGACGGCACCAGGGTTAAAAAGCCGCGAAGCGGTTTTTCGCCTATCTGATACGATTAAGCGGTGTTTCAGTTAACGAATAGGATATTTATTGCCTTCGTTCCTTGATTAGAATAAATTTTAAAAGGCTTCGGACCTTTCAAATGCTTTTTGATTTGTTTTTTAACAACAACTCGGGATTCCTGACATTTACCAATTATTATTTTTAAAAATTTCTCTGCCATGCTCAATTCTCCGCAGATTTTCATTCCATCCACAAATATTCGCGGAATTTTTCGAAAGCCTCGAGAAATTCGCCGGCCATTGGGCCCAGGCGTAAATTGAGGGCTAGCCGTTAGCGCGATTGGGGGTAGTGCTTTCAACAATTATTTCCGGGGGGTGGTGCCCCTATCCGGGTGTATGTGTTGGGCCTCAAAGGGGGGGGGTGGGTGGACCCTAAGCTGTTGGGTGGGCACCTAGGGGTGTGGAGTAGTGGATAATGAGTTGCAGATAAGAGGGTGGCCGCATGGCTTGAATTGTTAGAGAGAGAGAGAGAGAGAGAGAGAGAGAGAGATATGTGAGGAGGATTTGGAGAAGGGAAGAAAGCTTCTCTAATGAGGTGGGGCGGCAGTCTATTTGTGCAGAGGGATGGGGTATTGGATGGAAGTTGTGTGAAACGAAACATCTCTCCGCTGGCGGATTTGAATTCAGGGTTGGATATCGATTAATGGAAGGTCCAGTACTAACATAGACTCATTTTTGGTGCTACTTCTCTGTGATCGTACTGGTGCTACATAGTTCACTCCCTAGAGCTTCGAATTCAAGCGAATCTCATCCAAAAGCGCTGGGCCAAAACGTTCTTCGATAAAAAAGAATCTCACAGCCGAAAGTTTGTTAAGTCGGGTCAAGAAAATAGTCAAAGTAGGCTTTTCAAAGCAATTTTTCTGCCAGACTGTGATCGCTCAAAAATTTTGGAAAAATGGGACTTTTTCATTATAAATTATGCCGCTCGCAATACTTGAATATCATCAAATAAAAGGGAAAAGCAGAATATTATTATTATGTGTGTGGAATTCGGGCTAATTTTAAGAAATATGAAAAATCTTGGAGATGTTGCTGGTAAGATATGAAGCAATAACGAGGAAGAGCGAACGGAAATACAGTTGAGATCAAAACAATTCAAGAAAAACGACTAAACAACGAACCTTCAACAAAAGACAGCTCCTTCTCCGACCCAGACACCGACATACCCGGTTCAGAATTCCCGGGGCTGTCCAACGGATCGCGTGGATGGATTCGAATTTTTGCGGGTCGAGGGGCAGGTAGCTTTTTGCGGATGGTGAGGACTGTGTCGCCCAGAGAGCGATCAATTACCGTAGGCCGCGAATACGATCGCATCGAAGGGGTGGAATTAGAGAGAGCGAGCATGATAACGTGTGAGAGACGGGGAGGGAGCAGGAGAGTGAGGTGGAGATGGAGAAAGAGGTGGAGGGTTGGCGCTAGGTCGACGATCCGATAGACCTGGGATGGAGAAGGAATAACGGGAAGTGAGGGGGGAGGGGGATGGAATGAGGATGGATCGGGCCGACAGCCCTTCATGCCTATTATGACAACCCATCGAATTGGATAGATGGCTTGTTGAAATGTCGATTCACACCTTATACGCAACTTTTTGAGATCTACTGACAATTGAAGAGAGGGATCAAGAGCTTCAGGGGCATGATAAGACTTGGAGAAAGCGAGCTAGTTTAAAGCTAAGCCCTATTTCTAATTTGCTCCGATACCAATCTTTACAACTCCGAAATACCTCTACCAGCAGATGGCATCTTTGGCGGCTCGGATTGTGCCCCCATGTACTGTAGTCACGCCGGAAGCCGGGCCAGGGATCGCTTCGATGCCTGAAATTGAAATTATTTTCTAGGTCGAATTGTTTGCGACATACATACGACACTTTGGAAGTTGGTAATTCCTAGGATTCGAGGGACAAGAAACAGAAAGATTTAAGACAAAACCAATTGCGTGTTTTTAAATTTAAAAAATAATTTGGCTGAAAGGATTAGCGTTCCGCTTTTACGCGAGGCTGTTAATATTTCAAAAGCAGCTTCAATCTACTTGAGAAAACCGCAGCTCCTTAGCGGATCGCCATCGTTATTTTGGGCACCAATCGAAAGCTTTCGATAAGGCGACGAAAAAGCTGGTTTGAATTTCTTAAACCGGAGTCTTTGATAACAAAATTTTCACTAAAAACGAGTCTTTTGTGCGGAAAACGCATTTACATGCCGTCTCCGGTCATTAAAAATCATCGCTAAAGCGCTTGTTTTCTTGAATCAGCTTGGCTCGGAAAATGGAGCATTTCTCCGGCGAAACTTTTCTTTGGGACATATGGATCTAGCATTTGATTTTTTTTTGGAAATAACACGTTGATCTTCACGAACTTCCATACCTCGGCTTCATGGTAACTTTGGAATATAGTAGTGGAAAAGCGACTGGCTGGAGGGAGACCCAATTTTCTTGGTGCAGAAGCCGTTGTTTAGAGGGGGAGAAGGAGAAGCCTTGTGAGGGGGAAGGGGGGCTCTGGAGAAGAAGTGGACGTTGTCTATGATGGTGCGGCCCGGAGGGGGGAGAGCTCTGGGGCGCTCTCATTTCACGCGTGAAATCAAATGATTCGGTTCTTCTCTACTGAAGTGAAAGACTTAATCAGGCGTGTTGGTGGGGTGGGGAAGGGGAGGAGGACGACCAGCCATCCATTCCTCCACATCCATCCACACGCCCCGGCCCTAGCCCCAACAACACTATCGCCCGCAATTCTAATAGCTATTTTTTAGAGCTATTTAGATGCTTTACAACTGCATTGAGCTGCTTGTCATGCCGCAACAACCCCAAGCTGTTCATTATTGGGCGTGAGGCTGGCGCAGGTTTTTCAATGCTTTCCTGCAGGCCCCCATACATCCCAGCATCCATTTCTAGTTCGGAATTTCCATGAATATCAATATAAAACAGCATATTCTTAGAGTAAGTAATAGCTCGTATATTATGTTTAAGCTCCGTCTTTTTAGCATCAAAAAAGCGTCTGTTAGCGAAATCCTTAAAGTATCTAGGTGTTTTCTAATCTTCAAATAAATAATTTTATCAATAAATTCCTATGCCATTTTATGAAGCGCGGTATTTTACGCATTATTGCTTAATGACGGTCTACCGTACGTAAAATTACATAGACATTTACAACGGCCTGATCAGCTCGCCTCAATGTTCTGAATCCCCCTGAGCTGGCATTCTCTGCATAAAATGCAGGTATCTGATAGAAGGGAGAAAAACCTATAAAGTCCAGCCATATCCGGAAAAATTTTTATCCTTTATTTATCCATTGTGTAAGACTCTTCTATTCTATACTTACATCATAATTTTAGATTTAGTTTTAATGTTTTAGTTTTAATCTTTTAATTTAAGAAGGCAAGGGAAAAAAGAACTAAAGATTTCAAAGATATTTGCCTTGATACGGATAGCCACTAAAAAAAAAGAAAATTCTACTTTCGTTGAAATTCGGATTCCAAAATGGCGTTGACTTGTTGAGTGGACGATGTAGAGAATTGGGTACATAGGGCAAACAATCGACACCAGATTTGGAGAGCGATCTCACTCAACGTGCGCCCAATCCCCGCCACACCGTAGAGCCACCAAGTCCCGCCCCCCTTCCCCTCCCTATGCCCCACTCTAACCACTGCCCCAGAGGTCCCAAAAACACATA